CGCCCCCCCCCCCCCCCCCCAACATTTCTCACTAGCGGGCCCCGCGACGACAAGATATCGGCCACAAGCCTCCGGCGGTGGGGTCGTGTACACGTGTCAGCGCCTTCCTGGCCGGGCGTTGTTGCGCCTAACTGTACGCACTCACTCGAGCCGTTTAATTTTTCTAGCTAGAAATTATAGCACCCAGGTCTGCACCCACCCAGGCAGCATGGGTCCCACGCTGTCCACTAGCCGTTCGCCTTTTATGTGGGTCCCACGGGCTGCAGTTGTCCCCGGTTGGAATAAAGTCGAATGCTGGGTGCTTTTTTTTCTAATCTCTCCCATAACTATCTTTTTATTAAGGGTCGGGCAGCTTATTTGGTACGATGACATTTTAAAAACGCATCTGATCTGTTTGAATAAACTGAATTTTGACAGTTTATGTGTTTTCAAAACATTGAAAACAGCGTTTACACACTGCACATATCTAGTTGTTTCCAATAAAATAAAAATAAAAATTCTGACTTCTCCAAAAAATTAAAAATTTGTAATAGCCACCGCACCTAGCTTATCAGCAGATTATTCATTAAGCTGCAGCTGCCCCAAACAGACCCTTTATATCCCCCGTCATTATTTTTATAAAACTCCAATTTTCAATGTAATCCTTTTGTTTCTTCTGCAATTTTCTTATTTTGTAATCTCTCTCTTAATCCCGTAATCTGTTCATGCAGGACTCATACTTATTTAAGAAAATTGGATTATGATGCGCTCAAAAAAATTAAATTATTTTAAAATTAGTGGTATTATATTAATCTCATACTAACTTAATATATAGTTTGTATTTCTATAGTTGAATAAATTATGTAAAAATATAGTTATTTATCCACTAAGCCTACTTTGACATATAACATTTTAATGACAATAAAATATATATGACAATAACATTTTAATTTATAAATATAAATCATAAGATAAAAATTAATTATATCGATATATATATATATATATATATATATACCATCACACTTTTATTCATGTGTGTGGAGGCAGCAGTACTAGACCCTCATTTTTGTTCAAATTCTATATAGAATTTCTTTGTCAGGCATTGAATTCTGCCAAGAGCTTTGACACAGATCGTTCAATTCAAATCAAGTTTGCTGCCAAGTGAAGAGCAAAAATAATAAATAAGTATATTGATAGATAATTAAATAAAAACGTGGAAGAATGATTGATTTCTGCTGCATTTAATATGAGTTCAAGTTATATTAGGTTTTGTTTGAGAAGACTATGAAGTTCCGTTCCATTTGAGCGAACGTCGACAAGTGAAAAAATTTTCGTTTGGTGATACAATGTCGAAGCTCTTTCACAAGAATTACAAATTTTTGATGTTTCCGATCGCAGCCGGTCTTCTTCGAATGAACGAATGCAGTTTTTAAAAGAAATGTGTTGAGCTGTGACGCCACTTCGAACAAAGCGAGCGTTTTTTAAATTTGGTAGGGGCGAGACTGCTAGAGTAGTGCCTCTCAGATCATGTAGAGGGCAAATTTATATAAAATTTAACATACTTATTCTACAAGATTATATCATAGTTACAGTTTACTATATCGTATCATATAAGATGACATAAAGAAAATTATACAACGCCTTATTTGATAGCTCAATAGCAAACTGATAGGAAGATAATCAGATGAATCTATAGCTTGTTTTGGCACATTGATCATTATTCTATCAGTACGTACTATATATATAATATATAAGAATACTGGAAATATTAACTTCAAAAAAAAAAAAAAAAAGAATATTTCATCAATCTTATATTTTAGAGTTATCAAATCAAATCAGAATTTATTGGCATGTATAGTATAATATCAAGAATTATTTCACTCACACTCCACAAATATATATATATATATATACAAGCTAATTATTTTTCAGCAAATTTAATTAACAATATAATCTTAAAAAATAATTACACGAGTCCACAAAATTGTTCTTAGTTGAGAGTCAGCATGGATAATCTTGTACTCTAATTAAATATAACAACAGTAATAATTAGTTAAACAGTGATTTTTTTTTTCCATATTAAATAATAGAAGACAATTTCATTGGAATTGTGGTCAAGTATCTTTCTTATTTGAAAATTAATTAAATGCATATAAAATAAAATAAAATAAAATAAATAATTTTTTTTTACCTTCAAACTGTTTCTTTGCAGAGCACAGCTTTTAAGTTTGTGTCAAGTATCTTTCTTATTTGAAAACTAATTAAATGCAAATAAAATAAAATAAAATAAATAAAATAAAGAAATTTTTTTTACCTTAAAACTGTTTCTTTGCAGAGCACAGCTTTTAAGTTTGATCTGGAGATCTTAGTATTGGCCTGTTTGATTGGAAGAGCCCTTCCCCACAACTTCTTCTCCAGCTTAATAATATCCTTCAACGAAAACATGAATATGAAATGCTTTACAGAAATAATGATATTAATAATAAAAGCATTACTGATCATGCAAGCAGGAAAATATATGAAAAATTAAAAAAAAAAAAAACCCAAATTGTTTTTGAAAAGTACAAGGGCTTATTTTGACTGATAAATGCATTAGGATTCATAGTTTATTTTAAAGCTACATAGAAGACCAAGATTATCATTTTCCTTATCTCTCTCTCTCTCTCTCAAAAAAAAAAAAAAAAAAAAAAAAAAAAAAAAAACTCTGAATATACTCTGAGAATAGCTTAAACTGCAAGTTTATGCAGAAGTTACCAGCCAAGTCATTACAACACCAAACTACGGCAAAGATCAATTTTGAAAATATGCTATATATTCCTCCTAAATCCTTCTGTAGTTATTCTTCTCCATTCTCTGCTAGACTCCATCACCTCAGAGACTGTGGGTAATAGAAAGGAGAATTCAAGTGAGTTGCTGCAGGAGATTGAAACACAAAAGGTCTTGCCAAATGAGGAGCTGAAACTGAGCCTCCATGGCTGGTTGGATTAGTCAGCCGAATTCCATTATCTTTGGGTAACTGCTGGCCATGTGGTGGAAAGTAACTGTATGGCCTCTGAAACATAGGATGTGAGACTGGAACATGTGATGAAGCATCTCTTGGTGCAAAAGCTTCATCCGAGTCATCAATCATAATCACCTCCTTCCTCGTGCAGGCTCCTCCATGGTTCACATTTCTTTGGTGAAAACTTGGTAAACAGTAGTGTGTCTGCAAACCCATCATTGATGGAGACTGATTACAAGCCGCGAAAGAGAATGTATCGTGGTTTGGAACAACGGAATATGAAGTAAAACCCAATGGTGAAGGCAAGGCCTGAGCATTGGAGTTATCTGTGGCTGGAGACTGGATCTTTGGAAGCTGAGCAGAATCTTCATTGTGCACCACCATCAAATCCTTTCCCATTAATCTAAGGATGGAATTGGAGCTAGACTGTGTTGGTGTTCCACTTGATGGGCTCGTTGAGCCAACATCACTGAAAGCTCTTGTTAGAATTGATTCAGTAGGCGATTCAAGGGATGGTGTATGAGCATAGTAGGAGTTGCTTGGCCTGATATGGACATTAGGAGGTAGTTTCTGTTTTGTGGGTGTCATGTCTCCAGCCATGAAGCTTTGCCAGGAGCAGCAACAAGGATGATAATCTGTAGGATGCTGAAGTTTCTTCACAGTAGAATCCAGCTCAACTTTCTCATTTCTCTCAATGCCGATTGCTCGATTTATTTCGATCGCTGCCATCAATGGCAGTGGGGAACCTGACTTACCATGTGTGGTTGAAAGCACTGAAGCTTTTGAATGGTGATCATTTGGAGAGATGGTAGAGGCGCTCGAAGCAGGAGAAATAGATGGCTCTCTACAACCAACCAATATAGGCTCTTGATTTGGAGCTGAAGCATCCAAGGCTATTGGAGAGTTCGCCCTTGGGATATCTATTCTTAGATCTCCATGACTAGTTAAACAAGCACTAGATGTAGCCTTAGCTTGAGATTCCACACCTCCAATTTCTAGTTTTTCTGGTGCTGCTTTATCTTGTTTGTCAAGATATTTCCGTGGCAGTGGCATTTCCTTTTCTTCGATCAGCATTGTCAGCTTCATTTTTCGGTTCATGTTGAGCTGAAAGTCTTGATCTTTACTGATTAATGGAGTAGGTATGATGCAACTAGCATCAGCATCTTCCAATAAAGAATCCTTGTTAACATTCTGATCAACTTGAATTTCAGAATTTCTTGTTTGGATATCCTGGCACTGAGTGCCTACTGGATTTAAGAGTTGCTTAGTGACCTCTTCTTGTCCAGGGAAGGAAGGTTTAGCAGATCCATGCTGCCTTGGATTGCCATCAGAGGAAAACTCTCCTATCCTCCGATCAGTCCACGTAAGTAATGAACGATGCTTGCGGAACTTGATGGTGCTAGAGTTTGATTCGCCCAATGTTGAAACTCTTTTGGTTTTCATAGGAACAAGATAGGTCTGATCAGCTGACCTCTTCTTGTGTGTTTTAGGAGAAGTATGAGACTTCTCTTTTCTCCCCACATAAAATTCTGCCTCACTAGTGCTTCTTGGTGATGACAACGAAGAACCCGATGCTTTCGACAGTTTCAGGAGAACATTAGCTGAAGTAGCTTCTGATGGCCATGTTCGAGGACTTTTCTCCTGATTTTCCTTGTTTTGAATAGGATTTGAACTGCAGTCCACTGTTTTGGCTTCTAATGATTGATAGAGTTTTCCAAAATGGATTTTTGAACCCGAAGGGACATTTGATGCTGGTTTCCTTGTCTCCAACATTTGCTTCTGAGTATCTGGTTTGGGATGCTCCAAGATTTTATGGAAGTTTTTCTTGCCTACTTTTTTGGGAAGATCTGAACGTTTTGAGCTCGGCCAGTTTTTTAAGGTCGCCGATCCACAATTAAGACTTTGATCTGCTTCACCTGATAATTGAACAGGCGATCCTTCGTCCTCTTGATGAGATTCTTCACGAGGAACCACTTTAGGTTCTGCTTGGACCTGATCATAAAATCATGCAGTTAAGCCACCAGATATATACCAAACTTGCTACATTTTAACTAGTGAAACACAACTACTTCTATTTATTTATTTATTCATTTAAGTAAAGCCACTCCTACTTTCATAAAAGAAGTACTAATAGGGAATTAAAAGTGTGATAATATCTTTAATGGATCATATAAAACTAAAAGTGTTGAATAATTACTTGCAACTCAAAATAGGAAACTGCAAGCATAAACCTTTCATAATTGTCTAAAAAGATAAATACTGCTAAGTTTAAAACAAACAAGCAAGAAATAATATTGTATCACTGGGGCTAGCAACAAAGCGGTTTCATTCTTTACTGTTTGGAATAATAATAATTGCTGCAGCAAACTGTGGTTTGTCATATATTGGGCCACCTATGTTCTGAAGTGTTAAATGTAAGGAAAATAATACAAGGATTTACTTCGAAGTTTTTTCATAACTACACTTGCATCAGAATTCTCATTCATTATAAATTTAAGTGTTTAGCTTCACCCTCCAAACAAATTTAGACAAATATGGGATTGGGCTCCATTTTGTTTAGGTGGATAGATCAATAATAAAACTTCCAAGCAAAAGTTTATTATGTAATCCTCTTCACAATATGGTTGGTCCAAGTAAGCAAAATGGAGCCCGATTTCATTTATTGAGTAAATTAATATGTATTAAATAAGAAGAATACAACAAACAATCAGATAAGCTTACTGAAAAACTTATAAACAAACGAATTGCCAAAGATTAGTGCAGGCATACCTCATTTTTGAATAGACTGAAGGAGCTTAATTTCTTGTTCCTCATTTTTAACCTCATTTTCTTTGAATATGTGGAGGTAATTTTTTTCTTTTTTTTGATTAAAATGATATTTTCTTCTTGAACACTTTTGATGTTCCTCCTTGGCCTGAAATCTTCTCTCGATAAAACTTGGGGAGCATCATTGAACTTGGACAAGATCCGAAGCTTAATTCCATTGGAATCAACATACACAGCTCCTTCAGTCTCCTCATTTCTAGGTTCTAAAGGCGGCAACTTTGGCTTCTTAGGCTCCAAATTAACCTCAGGAGACGATGCCACCACAGACAAATTAGTTGCCCAGGTTCTACCATTCCTCCTATCGAGATCTTCCAGTGTGCAGCTGGGAGCAGTAGCATAAATATCCTCCATCAGTCTTTTCTTCCTAGGCTTCAACTTGAGCTTTGGCAGTTTGTCCACAGCCAGAGTAGCGTCAGACTCCATGGAAAGACACTGATCCATATGAGCGTTTAAAGTTGTGTTTGAGGAGGAAGAAAATGCCTTGCACACAGGGCAAACCTTTGATGCCATGATATCAGATGCGGTAGAAGTAATAGATGTTTCTTCCGATTGGATTGTTTCAGGTATCAGCCTGCACTTGTTTAGCACTGGTTCACCTATGGGAGCTGAGATTATCTCTATATCACAGAGGTTTGTCACCGATGAGCCAATTTCACAAACGTCATTTACCAAGTTATGATCATATTTATCCTGCTCGCACAAACATCCGACTTCAGCTTTATCTGAACACCTTAGAAGATCATTCTGGTCTGATGTTGAGCACAAGTGGTCAGTTCGGGTTGAACTAGGCTCTCCATCCACTAGCGGTGCAGTTTCTTCGCTAACCTGTGATGAACTGATTGCAACCTTTTCAGCTTCTGATACTGAGCTTACGAGACAATGAGCTCTTACAGAATTGGGAGGTTCAAAAGGTGGCAGTAAATCTCGGATGCCATGTTTCAGGCAAAGTTGCAATAACTGGCTAGGAAATGGCCAACTTTTGCCGATGCTTTTATTTCTTAACGCAAATACATGGTCTCTGCCAACCAAAAATTGGATCTTTAATACTGCTGTTAATAATAGAACCATCAATTATGACAAAAAATAATATCTTTAGCTACTTTTCAAACCCCACCACTCATCAAATTCAACGGAAGGTTACATAAGCAAAAAACTTGGATATGGAAGGTGGGATCTTTTTCAGTTTAGCAGCCTTTCAATAAGACAACTTAGAATCATAATCATATGTAATTTCTTATTATAGGAAATCAATTAACTCTCACAACCATACAAAAACTCCATAAAGAGGCGATGCTCTCTTATGTAAACAGCAACAGTGACAAAAACAAAAACAAAAAAAAGTTTTAAGTATAATATGATATAAATCAAATCGTTGAACCAAAAGAAGTTAGAGGAGAGAAGTAAGGAGAGCATAAAATCAGAAAAGGAAAAAAGTTAAATAAACACAAGCTTCAACATGGATGGATCTCCAAGACTTTTAGCAGAACATCAGGCAGCATAAGCACAAAGCAAAAGATCTATCTAACCGAAGTGGAAGTCAACATCAGCTGTGAGGATTCAACCACAGAAAGGGATAAGGCTCTGCGAAAGCATCCATATAACTGATGAACAAATATGAGAATCTCAGATCCATTTATTGAATTTGGATAGGAATCCATGTAAGAAAAAGTGTTCCCTAGCACTACTTAACCCATCAGACCACAGAATACTATTAAGACAATCACAGAGAGGAAGTACATGAAGAAGATAAAAAAGATAGCAAGGACATAAACAGTTACCTGATGGAGAAATTGCTAGTCCGTGCCTCACCAAATCTTACGACGGGATCTGCCTCCTGAAGTGGAAGCTGGTCAGAATCCCTCTCATCAGCTCTGAATCCTGAAACCTTATAAGAAGAACACGAGGGATCTGAAGAGTTTACAGGCGATAACATCTGAAGATGGCCTCGTCTCCTTGGTCCCTGGCTCTTGCAATATCTGTAGCCCAAGAGCTAAACTGCAACTGGGCTTGTTCTTCTCCTTAGCTTCCAGCATAACAGATGGATTTTAGCACCTCACTGAAAACCCCTCAAGATTAATTCAAAGGGAGGACACAAATCCCCAACAACACTCCTTAACAGATCTGATGGTGCCTGCAGGATGAGAAAGAGAGATTTAGTATAGGATTCAAAGTTGAAACTCACGAACAGTAGACGGATGCTTCCAGAACATTATTTTATGTACTTCAAACCCACGAATACTTGGAAAATAAGAAAGGAGAAACAGGCCAGGCAGGATGGAGTTCAAAAGTCTTGTATAGAAACTACTGGAACCTATCATTTTATGTGAACAAAGCGATTAAAAATCGGTGGCCCTACTGAAAGGAGCCAGCTTTCAAGCAAATAGTGTAGGAGGGGATAAGAATAAGAGATTAAGAGTTCATATTTCATGACAGGTACCGAACCAAGAAGGAGAAAATGACAAAAAATATCAGGAAACAGAAGAACTTAAGCCCTCGAATCAGAAGGAATCCCAAACTTTGATTTCTAGAATCAGGCAAAGAGGAAGTGGGGTTGAGTGGTCAAAGCAATTTATGCATGGAATAAGAACATGAAATAAGAGAAAGAAGAAAGTGGGCTAAGAAATCAGACAGCTATCCAGGAGCATAAACCTAGTTTCAGGTCTTCCTTTGATGGTACTTTTTCCCGGCGATTAGAGAAAAATAACAGACGATTTGAAGAGATGATAACTAAAAAAGCCATGGCAAAGCAGATCGGACTAAGATCACCAGCAAATCTACAGTTAATCGTCCAGTACAGTCCAAAAGACAGCTCTTTGAGACAAATCAGAATCCAAATTAAAAGAAAAGGTTTACGAGAGAATGAAAAGGGCAAAGAGGAAAAGAAGGAGTTTTAGAACAAAGTTCCAAAGAGAAACCCATGCCTGGCTGTCATGGAAGAATCCTTATAAGAACTCATAAAGAAGAACGAGACGTGGGAATCTATAAGAAAGGGGAAAACAACAAAGACATGAAGAGAAACCAAGAAGAAAACGAAGATATTAAGCAGGACGAGAAAAAAAAAAAAATTGCCCTTTTTCTTTTGCCCTTTTTCTTCGTGACAGAAACTCATCCAAGCCATACCCCTTCATGAACGCCAACAACAACAGAGTGAGAGCAAGCAAGCTTTGACGATGGCAGCTGAGTGTTCAAAGCTTCTTCAAACGCACCAAGGAGAAAGCACCGAAAAATCAAATAAGAAAGAGAGAGAGACAGAGAGAGACAGAGAGAGGAGGTGGAGGAGGAGGAGGAGATGATTTTCTAATCTTTCTACGCAGAGAAACAACACCACCCACTCACGGATCAACGGCATCAGGTTCTCCACCCAAAAGCAAGCCCAGCACCACATTAACAGCAAACAGGAGAAGAGAGAGAAGATAAAGAGAGAACGAGAGAGAAAGTGGGCAAAGGAAATGAAGGGTCTTTGCGGGGTATTGTCCTATCCAATAGCTTTCCTTTTTCTTCTCTTGCGTGGTACAGATATTATGAATTGTAAGGCCATACTGTTATTTTGGTCCAATTCTTTCACTAAATTATGACAAGAACCCTCAGTTCTTCTCGAAACTCCCGAACAACATAAAAATTCAAAGTTCAATAGTTATTTTATTTTTATTTTATTTTTTAAATTTTTGATGATGTTCAGGACGGTGATATCAACGGCAATACATGTAAAAACCTTGGTAAACTTATTATGATTGTTAATTGAATCATTTACACCAAATCAAATGTCATTGTGAAATAAGTATTCATCTATATTAACATATAAGTTTAAAAATTTATATATTTGCATGTGTCGCATTCAATTTTATGAAAATTTAATACAAATACAAGTTAAATATTGATGCTTCGTTATCATTATTTGCACGGAAATTTATGATGATAGAGATTACCTACTTAATTTTGAATGAAAATCTAGCAAATATATAAATAAGATATGAATTTAACAAAAAAACAAAATAATTATTATGTGAAAAAAATATCTAAAATGGGAAAATTATATGGGGTTTAATCCAACATAAGTGATTTTCTCTTAAATATTATAGGTTATAAATGAGCATTTCTCTTTAATTGGGGATTCAATATAGTATGTATAAGGATTGTAGAATGAATTCTATGATAGAAGTTGGAGGAGTTTGGAGTTATCTTCAAAAAATCACTTGTGACATGCAGAGTCCGACCCATGTAGGGTCCAATTGCCCCCACAATATTTCTTGAAATATCATTTTGTCCTTCGTTGCACTCACCTCTCCCACATTGGGTTTAGGGGGGCGACAGTTTGCCCCTTCAAGAAAAGAGGTTGATTCCTCCCCTAATGACATATTCAATCATTCTTCGTTCAATAGAGGAGTCAAGATGACGTGAAGTTTAGCATAATCATGTTGTTCAAAACATGTTTATGCCCTATTTGTAATTGTGCCTAATTTCAGGTTTTTCGCGCCGCCACTTACTTAGCATTCATACCATATCATCTGACACCTAAGCGTGGGTATCGTAACGCTTATGCGCCAGAGTGTAGCGCCTAAGCGGTGCTTAGGCAATGCCTACTATTTGTGCTCTCTGGATTTTGGACGAATTTTTGGCATGTTGGGCGCCTAAGCGCTGCTGACCTGGTGCCTAGATTCCAAGCCACAAGTTTCTCCGATTCAATCATTTTAAGTCCTGTTCAATCTCAATTTTTGTTGTAATCTTTAACACACTACATAAACCTTCCTTAAAGTGCACCATAAACATACAAAATGCAAATAATTAAAGGCATTTTATACAAAATTTAAAAACATATCAAAATCCCCCAAACTTGAAGGTTACTTGCCCTCAAGTAACAACAAAATTTTAACATTTGATTTTATAGAACATTTTAGAAATGGGCTTTCATTAGTCACCACATGCAATCAAACTTCCAAAGATACATAAATAATGAGCAAATGCTTCTATTGATTTATTCCTTCACCGTTGATTCATGAAGCTTTTAATTCTTCAAATATTATCTAATCTCATATTTATTTTGAGGGATTTAGTAGATTCTAAGCTAATAAAACTAAATATGTCAAATTTTAAAAGTTCAACCATCTATTAATTTTAATTGAACTGTTATTAATTTATACAAATCAAAATTACTTTGAATTAAGGAATGTTGCAAACTTCTTAATTTTAAAAGAGACAATCGTGAAACTAATTTTTCCTCGGGCTTCTCCTGAAGCTTCTCCTCAATGTTTCATTCATATATTCATTCTTTCTTTCCTCTAGGATTTACTTTTTTTTAATCCCATATTTTGATAAATAATTCCTTTTTTCATGCATATTATAGATGATTATTATATCTGAATTAACCAATTTTATGATTTTGAATTCCACTAAGTTCTCCATAAATTAAATTACCCCAACATTCCCTTTCCATTTAAGATTTATGAAATACAAATTGTTAGCATAAAACTCAGATTAAGTGGGGGCAATTTTTTTAAGAAGATACACATCTAGTTGCTATTAACTGGACAAATAAATAAATTTTCTTAAAATTAAATATGCTGATTAAATAAGCAATAGTTGAATTTCAAAGATCAATCTAAACATATTTTAGTTTAATTTAAATAGAACTATAAGTAATTTATCGACGTATCTCCTTTTTTTACGTTTTTATGGCCCCAAATTCACCCACATTTTACTGAAGTCAACAACGATCAAATTCTAAGACTTTGTTAACAAATGTACAAATAACTTATAGTGACATAATTCTCCCCCCAAACTTATCACAAATAATTGCATATATAAAATGCATGAAATGATATCACAATGGCATATAAAACCAATACAATCCAACAACTCAACAGCACGTGTAGAAACAGAAAATATTAACAATAACATATAGAACAGTAACAACAAATTAACTAAAAATACAAGACATCAGTCTAAGTTAGTTACAACAAATAAGGATCTAAATATGAAATAAAACTCATGCATAACAATAAAGTTCCACATAATATCAATACAAGTCACATTACACAAATAATATAACATAGCAACAACAAAAATACAATGAATAGCAACAACATTCAACCAAGGCAAAACAGTCAAGAGCACACTAGAAGCAACAATATCAATCACCCCCTTCTTCTTCATTATCATCTTCTTCTTATTCTGCTTCCTCCTCCGGGTCTTCCTCTATTGGCCCGCGGGCATTCTCATAAAGTGTATACTTATTGTGTGCTGGAAAAACCACCAGGTTTGGCCCTCCTAACCATTGTTTTCTCTTATACATTTCCAGCTTTGTAGCCTGGAAATCAATAATATAATTGAATTGGCTCTTATTTTGGTAATCCATATGAGACGCATCGGCCATCAAATCATAAACCTCAGTCTAAATGATTGATGTATCATCTTCAAGTGTATTAAGAGGCTCGATGATAGAAGCCATGGACGTAAAAGTAAAAGGTCTAGAAGTAGAAGAGGAAGGATGGGAGGAACTCTCACCACACTCAAATAAAGTGTGTCAACTATAAACCTCTATATACCTTTTGAAAATAGGCGTAAGGGGTTGTTGTTGTTACTCCCAACTCTTATAAGTAAACCCAACAAGCATACATAGAGAAGAAATCATGGAGGGGTGGTCAAGTCCAATAGTGGGTCCTCCTTTCAACATATTTCAAATAGAATGACTAATCATCGAACCCACATCGATACTTTTCTTGGAATGAATGCAAAAATTCATAGGTGGCCTTTCCCTGGTAACTTCGCCAAGTTTTGTGGAAGGTAAGAGTTTGGCCGAAATATCAATGCCAAGCTTTGGATTTTGACAGATAATGCAGTAGAAGGGAAATTGATTTTTCTGTCGTCTCTCACCTTCCATGCCTCTACTCTTCTTAAAAAAGATACCATAAAGATGAGAAAAACTATAGAAGAAACAGTTAGGATTAGCAGGCAAATGATACATATCATTAATTTTGATAGAAGAGAAAACAACATACTTTCCTCTAACAAACATGAAATCAGAAGTTGATTCAGGCAGATTTGCGAAAAAATCCCGCACAATGAAAACATAGCAATTCCAGTATTGCCCCTCGACCCTCACCCATTAGATGGATGACACCTTCGACAGAGGGTATATTGTGTAGAAGGGAGACTTGTAAGTAATCTATTTTTAACGTTAGAATAAGTTCAGTTTTCATCTCAATTTTTGTTGTAACTAATATTTAAATTTCATGTTCTTTCCTTCCAGGTCACCCGTGACGCACATCATGAAGATCATCTGGAGCAAGTATGATTAGAAATTTCTGTCTCGAAAACATATCTCGATTCCAATTCGGGACATGTGGTTTTAAGAGTTTGAGATATGATTATTTAATTTGAAATAGAATGCTAATTTCTACTTTTTTTATACCATTCTAACTTCCATAATTTATAATTTACAGAGGTCCTTCTAGAGGTTACTAGAGCATCACCGACACATTTTTTAGGTTTTTAGTAGACATCGGATGGGCAACATGTTCACTACAGAGCAGAAGAAGGGAAAGAAGCCCATATGGGTAGGTGAGGATGTCTGGGCAGACCTGAATTGAGCCTCGATCACTTCGGATTACTAGAGAAAAAGATAGAAAAACTAGCAAAATAGGAAGATAGACGGAGCTAGTGGGCTGCACTCTACATTAGAGGTTCAATCCCCCACACAGAGCACTACTAGAGACTAGTAAGATTATCTCAAAATTCAAAAACTTAAACATTTATGTAAATGTGTGATACTTATCATTATCTCATGTACACGGGTCAAACAAATTGACTGAGAGCCATCCTCTGCAGAGTTGCATGTCTTGGTGCAGTGCTGATGGAGCACGAAATAGAAAATCAGATGCAATCTTTGCAATTACATTTACCATATATCATGATGAAATTCTGACGTAAAAACATTTGTATCAGACATAGGTTGATGCAAGTTGGTGTCGACCTTTAGTGGATGAAAAGCAACACTAAGTTTTTATCGGTACTTTTTTTTTATGAAAACTTTCAATGACCGAGATATTAGACCCCCAATTCGACATAACAAGAAGTTTGACGCAAATGTCAACACTATTTCATTTATCAATGCTCATTTAAAGTCGAATTTTTTTTTACACAAATGAGAGGCTAATGGCAATTTGTGTCGAATATACCCATGATTAGCATTGAAAAATCGCGATGTTAATCTACTCAATTCTTATAGTGCCTAATATGAGTAGCAAGCCCGATTATAGTAGAAGGTTTGGGAGAACTTGTAGGTCTAGTGGGCCCCAGTGTTGCGGTGGAAGTGCTAATCATCATAGAACTAGTGGTATTTGAAGAGGAGTGTAAAACACTGTTTCTTCCTATAGTATGTCGCATTCGATTGCATCAGTAATTAAAGTGGTTGTTCTCCCTTCCCGCCTGAAGCCATTTGTAACAAGAAGAAAAAAATTAACTAGATTAATGATAATTAAGAAATACTATAAGTACAAACCTAAA